GAGCAGTGAGTGTTTGTGTCCAGCAATGCTTCACAGACAGCATCCCACATAAACACGATAACACCCCAGGGGTGGGGGAGCAGGGAGTGATAATATTATTGCCATTTCAGACAAGGCGATGGAGTCTCAGGGAACTCAGCAAAGTTCTCCGATGGGGCACAGATCCTGAAAGGAGATCCAGAATGCAAAACCAATCTGTCTGAACCCATACCTGGGTCACGACACATAAAACCTGCAAGCTGAGTGCCTGCTGGACCCACAGCACTTCTGAAGCTAGAACCACAGTTAGATTCAGGTGGGGCCAGGCAGGCCCTTTCCAGCAACAGCACTCCGCCACCTGTGGTTTCTAGAGCTGCACAGGTGATCCTAATGTGATTTAAGATCCTAATGGGATCCTCCTCAGGCATTGCAAAGCACTGAGCTCTACATTCCAGAAGGTTCCAGGAGTCTGCTCAGCTCTTTGTTTATCACTACCAAGTAACTGAGACATCATCTGACCCTCCCCAGGGTGAGGGAAACCTTTCAGACACTGCCTTATGAGCCTCACTATAAATTATCTTAAAATAAAACACTATAAATAAGCTTTCCCCTGAAGCCTCCATGCCCTACCAGTGACTTCACATGACCCTTCCACCGAAAGACTCACCCTGGTATCCGTCCTGTCCTTGGTCAAACGGAACTATTTAAGGAGCTTTAATTCTCTCACTCCAGGACTCAAAATCAAAATATTAACAACAATAACCACTTACTGAGAGTGTGCATTTATCAGGCATGGTGTGAAGTGCTTCCTGTGTTACCTCATTTAATGCCTGCACTGACTTCCTTGAGGTAAGCGCTCTGATGATACTGATCTCATAGATAAAGAAACTGAATCTTAGAGAAAATAAATTACATGCCCAGCATCACCCTGCTTACCACCAGCAGAGCCTGGGTTTTCATCTGGTTCTGCCCAACCACAGGGTCCATATTCCTGGTTATTCTCACTACTCGACCTCTCCACATACATGGTCCAGGGCTCCCTCAACTCCAGATGGAAACAGTTCCGTCTCACCACAGAGCCTCTCCTTCTGCCCGCCCCCTCCCAGCTTAGGTCACCCCCTCGTACCTGCCACTGAAATAGAAAACTCTGTATCATCCCTGACACCCATCACCCACGGCGACTAGCTGGTCCCTATGACCTATTACCCTCACTGGCTCTCAAATCTTTCTCTCTCCTTTCAAACCCTCATTTGGTTCTTTCCAAATTTCAGTAATTTAGTATTATTTAGTGACCCCTATAAACAGACTCCCTATCTTAGTCTTACCTTTTTCAAATCCAAACCCCATTTTGTTGGATCTAGATTTGATCACTTGGTAACCCAATTCTGGTATCGCGCCGAGGCTTAGAATCCCTGAGTGATGCCACGAGTCCCATATGATAAAACATCTGAATTCCTTAGCCAGATGTTCTTCATGATGCCACTCTTACTTCTTCAAAAGCCTGTCCTATTGCTTTCTGGCACCTTATTCTTGCCCCGTAAACACTGTATGCTCTTCTCTAAAAGGTGTAACAGGGGGCCCACAAACAGATTCAGTCCAGACATGCTACGCTGTGTTGGTTCCCCCAGTGCTATAGTGTGTATGTGTGAATGTGTGTTTGTGTGTGTGTGTTAACTGTCACCACTTAAAGAATTGGGTAAGTTTATATAAAAATCCAGATGTGTTGCAACTGTTCCAAGCAAGATGGGTTCAGGGAATTTGGGCAGATGGAAGAATATTCACAGAGCTGTTGGGATGTTTGACATGCCTTTATTCAAGCGTGGGTGGTCCACGCACGCTGCAAGCCACATACATGTCCCCTTGCATGTTGAACTCATGTTACACAGCAGGAATTCCCAACTCCCTTATATGCTACATGCACACAGAGCCGGCAAGAAGCCAAGATGTTATACAACAGAGCTTAGTTCTGCATATGTGAGCCACTCAAGGCTATGGGAACTGTTTATTGGACCCAGGCTCAAGGCTATGAGAACACTGCGTGCCAGGCCCATCCTCAAGGTTATGGGAAACTGCTTCTCTTAGTTGCCCAGACACCTGCCTCTGTTTACCCTACACCAGATCTCTAACTTCTCTTGAAGCATCACCACACCACCCCAGGTTGTGCCCCTACCCAACTCACCTCGCATTTAAGTGCTCCAAGTGACCCTGCCGGCATTGGAGTCTGTGGCCTCTGCTCTGTGTGAACCATGTGGCTTTGGGACTTTGTTCATGTTGTTTCTTCAGATTAGAGTGCCCTCTTGCCACGTGGCAAAGCTCCCTGTATGTTTAAGGACGAGATAAAGGATTGGCACGTCTGTGAAGTCCTTCTGATAAAATCAGTCACCCTTTACTCAATGACCCCATGAAGCCTTTTTCCCCCTAATGTAGCTGCCTCAAAACTATTGAAGGCGGTTGTATGTAATGTCTTCTCCTGGCTACACTGGGAAAACCCTGAAAGTAGGTTCTGCTTTGTTTGGCTTTATACCCCCTCCCACACTGTCTACCATCAGGCCTCACCCTTCGTACACCTTCCCCAGGCATCAGGCAAATGCACCTGAAATCAGCAGCTCTTTTTGCTCTCCATTGAAGTTTTTTCATCCCCATTTTTCTGAAACTAATCAAATAAAGGACCTACTAGCTTATGTAGAAAGGTTCAAAGAAATCATTGTCTCACATGAGCTTTGAGCAAACGTAGATTCTAAAGTCTGTTTAGTAAGGTTCTATAGCCGGTTAGGAGGTTTAGCTCTGTCTGATTCCTAACTGTATTGTGCAAAGAAGTGTATAAATACAACTCCCTCCCTTCCCTAGTACTGCTCATATCTTCAAATAACAACTAATATTTTTTCAAAACACGTTCACACTTACCAGAAATTCCTTAGGTGGTAATGACTTCATTAATCAGGTCTGCATCTTCCCTTACAGTTTCTAATCTCATGATTTTATAGAACACACACATTGTAAGCTACTTCTTATTCCACTATAGCTTTGTTTTTCAGACTTTACTTTCATCATTTACATCTTCTGTCAAAGTGGGAGGATGCTGCACTCCTGAGCATCCAGCTCTAGGTTCAGAAGATGATGAGACATTTGCACAGTCATCAGAAGGCGGCATGCAGACCTTGCCTTAGCGATGGAGTGCTCACTTTTTTCTGGAGAGGTATGAATGAAGGTCTGCAGTTGCCATGGAAGCGAAAGCTCACAAGAAATAACCGGACTCTTTTAGGAGCTGCCGCTGTGTTTTGCTGAGACTATGGCTGACAGTCCTGGTCCCCAGGCAGCCAGCTGCAACCCGTGAAAGACTAAGACCATTTTGCTGTCTCCATTTTTTCCTGCCTCTATCAGAACTGCACGTGGAGCGGGTGTGGCCAGGAAAGCAGAAAAATCCCCCTGGAAATTATCAATTAGCCTGACACTGGGCTAAGCTCAGGGGTGTGTGAGGAACCCCCTTCCCTCCGCAGGCGCCCACGTGCAACGAAGGGATTCTGAACAGGAACCAAACCATCTGCAGCATCTCTACATTTCCCAGAAAGCAAGCCAGAAATTTCGGACTTCAAATCCAGCCTTTGTTAGCAACAGTTTTCTTTCCTCGTGATCCAATTTCCTCGTAATTAATCAAGAGGGATTTCGACTCTGAATTGTTGGACCTCAGTTAACATTATCAGATAATGTTGAACTCTGAAAACACAGGTGACAGATTTCTAGATAGAGTATTAAATCATCTCCCACACTGTTTTAATCCTAGGAGGTAAATGACCTCAGGATGAAAATCTGGCATAATTTTTTTTTTAATGGAGGGGGCCTAACTCTCCAAAGTAATTAACTTTCATGCCTATTTGAGGCTCTGAGCAGTTTTGTTAACATGGTTAGCTGCGAGTCAAGATGGGAGGAAAGGGTACTGTACTGAAGTCCACAGAACTGCTGGATGAAAGCGATGGTATTTGTCTGTCTTTGAGTGCTCAGCTCTGAGCATTTTACCTGGTTCAGTACATTTCATAGATGGTTCTTCTGTCCAAAGGATCTATCAATCCAGTCCTTTAAAAAAAAACTATACCATTTGAATTTTTGTTCTGAGAATTTAAAGAGTGACCTTTTTTGCACGGAAGATCGTGTTATTAAAAACAAAATGTCAGGCACAGGTTCCTTCTGAGAGCATTCACTTCTTTTATCTTTAAATGGTCCTTTTAAACTAACAGTTTGAGAAGGTTTATTGTTATAATGATCTGTGAAATTCAATATTTGTGTAGGTCTTAATTTGAAGGTTTAAAAAATAACTGAAGCAGAAGTTTGACCACTGTCTTATTTCAGTATGATTTGTTTCTATGCTAATTCAAACCTAGGACCAGAAGACACAGCCATTGTCACCCCCTTCAGCTGGGTCTCAATTTTGTCGTCTGGAAAATAAAGGTTGGACGACGTGACTCATAAGGTCCATATTGAATAGAGCTGAAGACCAGAGAAAAAGGCACCTTGGGATCTTAGATCGCTAGGATAAAAAGAGGCACAAGCTTTGAAGCAGACAGATCTGGGTTCAAATCTCACATATTAATAGGTTTAGGAAGTTATATCTCATTGTACTCAGCTATAAAAGGGGACTAAGTGACAGCAATCTTGAGGGCTGTTGAGGTTTAAACGAGAACACACCTGTAATGTTCCTAGCACAATATGTGCACATATTTTATGCTTCTATAAATGGTAGGACCATATTTTAAGGTCAAAGAAAACATAAGGCTGAACACATGATCAGATCTAGTAATTTCCACTCTGGCACTTGGAGAAGAGAGTGAGTGAGCACATCACCGTCCTGGGCCAGCAGAGATGTCCCTGTGCTGTGATGAAATTGGAGCCCTCGGGGTTTAAAAAAAGAACACTGTCAGGGGGAAGGCGCCACATCTTGGCGAGAAATGCTTAACATACTTTCATCATCACCAAACTCTTCCTACCCCACACCCTGCTTCTATTTAAGTCCGAGGCACTCCCCGGGTCCCCAGTCATTTTAGCCAGTGCCCAGCTATCAGCACAGAAGAGAAGGGTAGCATGGTGGCGGAGGACAAGAAGAGAGGGGAGGGGCCAGCCAAGAGCGCCCTCCGGAAGATCCACAGAGCCACCCTGGTGATCAGCTTGGCCCGAGGTTGGCAGCAGTGGGCAAATGAGAACAGCACCAGGCAGGCCCAGGAGCCTGCAGGCTGGCTGCCGGGTGGGACTCAGGACTCAACCCAAGATCCTAAACCAGTGACACACCCCACTCCCAACCAGAAAGTTCAGAGTGCCCCAAAGTCTCCCTCCCTAAAGCCAGAGGGGCATGGGGACGGATGGAGCTCAGAGGAAGCCACTGAGGTCTCTCACATCAGAAGGAAAGAGGTGACCAAAACAGTTGTCAGCAAAGCTTATGAGAGAGGAAGAGATGTGAGCGACCTCAGCCACAGATACGAGAGGGACGGTGGCACCTCGGAACCTGGGCAGCCAGAGGATGACATTGACCGGATCCTCCACAGCCATGGCTCCCCGACACGGCGGAGAAAATGCTCCAACCTGGTGTCTGAGCTGACCAAGGGCTGGAAGGCGATGGAACAGGATGAGCCCACGGGGAGGAGTGACAGCATAGACACGGAGGACAGCGGCTACGGTGGCGAGACCGAGGACAGGCCCGAGGAGGATGGAGAGCAGGTAGCCCGAATCAGACGCGCCTTGCCTTCCCAGTAAGTGCATTTGTCCTGAGGCTGCTTGTGTGGCTGTGGAGCCCTGGCCAGCAGGGGACCGGGAAAGCAGGGAAGCACCACCAGTGGTAGTGAGGCTCTTGGAGCCTGAGCCGGCAGGGGGGTCCTGTGGGAAGGCGTGCCCCCGAACTAAAAGGGTAGTGCCCAGCTCAGGCAAGGGCCTCTGGGTAGAGGGCCTGCATTATTCCGTGTGAACTGAACACTCAAGTTTTAGCCTCAACAAAAATGAAGTTACCAGACAGGGGTGGTGAGTGCTTTGGGTAAAATTTTAAAATCAATTGAACAATGAGTAGCAAATTGGCTTATTTCTCTGCAGCGAAAAGTCTTGTTGGTAGATTGATTGGAGATACCTTTCCTTTGTCCGAAATCAGTTTAGTTATATCAGGGGCCACATCTACCCAGGCAGTGCCCATGGAACACGGATCTCTACGTCCCTGTAACCAGGTGGGAGGCTGCTAACTAATTTGAGAGCAAGCTCTGAAGTCAGACAGACCCAAGTTCAAATGCCAGCTCTGCCCTGACTGTAGATAACAATCCTATGTCATGTACCTGAAAGTTGCTAAGGGTAGGGCTTCAGTGTTCTTGCCACACATGCATCTGATTATTTTTCTCAGCCCATGTCCTGCTTTGTAAAACGAAAGCAACAGCAATCTTTGGGGACAAACTGTATTGTCCTGAGAGAAGCAGATGAGGGTGAGGCTGCCGAACACTTAGCAATGCCCGCCACGTATGCTCAGTGTGTGAAAGGCATCGTTACTCATATGCAGTCTATTATTTAGCACTTTTTCAAACTTCCAGAAAATATTTGTCATTTGTAAACAAAGAGAAATGCTACGAAAGCTAGGTAATTAAAGTACCACAATCCTTAAATGTTCAGATGTCAAGCGCGCACACACACACACACAGACTCAAACCACCACATTTATTCAGACAAGAAACACATGCTCTCTTGCAAGACACAAACTCTGCTTCCACAAAGTAGAAAGTCAGGCTATCTCACTCCACAACTGCAGGGTATCAAAATATGGGCAAAGTCTCTGATGTGATGGATGCCTTCAAACGGACTCCCTGTGAGAAGTTAGATGTGCGTGTTGTTTCAAGTTTTATGGAACAACTAGAAAGTAAAGAACAGAACTGGTTACCTAATTTGACAAAGAGCTGCTTTACAGTGTGTGACTTTACAGGTGCTTTGAGAAAAATCAGAACTTTTTGCAAATGTTCAAGAAAAATGAGATGGCACCATTAGATAATTTTAACAATCCCTCTGGTGTTTAGTGTGCACTATGGGTATTTTGCATGCTTTTCCCTTTTCATGCTTATGACCCTATGAAGTGGGTATCATCCCATTTTAGGAAGGAGAGCACGGAAGCTCAGAGGGAAGGTTTCCCTGGCAGGCTGGTGACAAAGCTGAGACATGCCTGTTTCTGTACGCAAGGGTGCCAACTCCCATGCAGTGCCTTCGGGATGTGTTCAGAGATTTGGGTTCTATTTACATCAATATAGAAATTCATGGTCAGAAATAACTATCCTACCAGAAATACAGACCCACAGTCTAAATTCTGGCCTTGTGGATTAAAGTGTATGAGTGTGTGTATGTGTGCATGCGCACAGGAACGTGGGTGCTAGGAAAAGAGTAATGGAGCCCAGCAGCATGAAGACAGATCGGCTCAGTGATGACCTTCCCATCAGCACATCTGCACTGGCCAGGAGTAGGGAGACGACAGCCGGCCCGGTCTCCAGGGCACGTCCTCGTCTCTGTACTTGTCTCAGCACGCCTCCTGTGTGTTTCACACAGTCCTCACAACATTCTCCCGGGGGCGCTATGGTCACTGTCCACACTGGATAGATGAGGACACGTGACAAAGGACTGTTAGGGAATGTCCGTAAGATCGTGCAGCCCACGGGATTGGAACCCAGGCATTCTGGCTCCAGAGCCCACCCTCTGGACCTCGACTCTGAACTCTCTGTCCTGGAAGTGGGGGCGGGCAGTCAGTGCCTTTCTCGTGGTTCCAGAAAGCGGGCAAGCGCGAGGCATGGGAACCTTCTCAGTGTGATGGGAAGCAGCTGAAGCTCTGAGTGAGAGATCTGAGTCCTAGTTGTGTTGGCAGATCCTAAGTCTCTTTGACCTCATCTAAAAAATAGCTGTGAGAATTAGTTATTTTTATATTAATTATGTAAAGCAATGGACTCAGAGGAGCTATTTAATAAGTCATATTCATTACAGCTGCAGGGGGCTGGCCCTGGTGATCCCAGCCATTCAAGGTGCTAGGAGCCTGGCTCTCAGGCTTGGCCAGGGGGAAGTGGGCATTAGGTCTCTCCTTGCTTCTTTGGTTCCTTTCCCTCTGTCTCTCAGGACACAGGGTCCCGGAACGCCCTGAGCAGCAGCAGCAGCAGCAAGCAGAAACTCTGAATGTCAGTGGTAATCCTAGCTGTGCTCAGAAAGCTTCAGCTGAACCTAATGGGACTTTTTGGCTAATGGGACTGTCAAATACTGCTTGAGAAATGAACGTGGCATTATTGAGTGAGCCTACAGAAAAGGGATTTTCACTTATTTTTAAACACCATTCTTTTCCCACATCCATCAACAGAGAGAAAAACATGAATCATGAGCATTTAAGTCGAGAGAGTTTTATTGGTAGTTAGGATAACAGAAATGAACAGGTCAGGTTTGGGAAAACAAGAGAGATTCCATGGTTTTGCTAACTTAGGTTTTACTTTGAAGACAGTTTATATATTACACTTCATTTTAAAAATACTTAGTCTTTTGATTGTACAGCCATGACTTCAGTCAGTCTAGCCCTTTAGACCAAGAAAATTGGGTCCCTCTCACATACAGAAAGAGTGAAGTATTCGAGAGTCAATCACCCATCTACCCTCTTCTCCAAGTTTTACTCAGTAAAAATAACAGGAGTTGAGAATGATGGTGCCATTTCACAGCCAAGGGCACTGGCGCACAGACACTGAGAAACGTGTCTAAACCATAGAGCTAGTCAGTGGTGATGCTGGGCAGGCCAGTGCCAGCGCTTGTGATCTTAGCCGCGCTGCTAGACTGCTTCCACAGAGAACAGACTTAAGGAGTAAAATAGGGCGTAAAGCGCTGATAAGACATATGGGACAGGGGAAATGTTTATTGATGAATTATAAGAAAATCTGTTTTGATAATGAAGAAACTAAAAAGGCGAGTCAGGACTAAACATTACTATCCCAAAGTATGGATGTGATGTTAAATATTGCTTTGCTTTCTATAAATTTATACAGACTGACTTCCTAAAACTCAGTCTAAACTATTACATACATTTTTACTTGTAAATTTAAAGAAAGCAGGATAAGAAAAATATTGACTTTTAAATTGATTGACCAAAAAGGTATTTAGGATATAAGACTTTTTAATCCTGATTTGAAATATTTTCAGACTTTTTTAAAATGGGAAAAATACGAAATAGTATAGAACATTTGTAACAGAGAAAAAACTGAATACTCATAGTGTATGTCCTCCTAGTACTTTTCTTTATAACCTTATTTTTAACACAGTTCTTGCTAACAGGACCAATTCTTTGTTTTCCTTCTCTTCTATCTGGCAAAATAACACATGCCTATTAAGATTTTAAAGGTGCTTCTTTTAGAAATGTTTTTCTTTTTCATAGACTTACAACCTTACCATCCCCAGCCCTTATTCCAAATGAAGCAGTTCCAACACTCAGGGAATCTAAGTTCCTAATTAACATTAGAAGAAACTGCAAATCTGGTATGACCTTTGGGTCCTGCAGGGATGGCCCGGGGCTCACTGTTTATCGAAGGCTATGCAAGTCATGGACTGCCATAGCTCCAAGGGGTAAGGTGTTTGCTCTCCTTCCATAATGAGGGGAAGCTGCCCGGACTCTGCGCAGCTGAACACGGACGGACAGTCTGTGGAGAGGGAGGTGATGGCGAGGACCAGCAGGGCAGAGAAATCCGTTTCACTTCAGTGTGATGCAACTCCTAGCACTTTCATATATACATATATATATATATTTTTTTTTTAAACATGTAACGATTGTGTATAATTTTTGTATGCTGCTTCTTCCCGATTACCTTTGTCATATCCTTTTGGTCCCTGTGGCTACACGAAAGAGTAGTGTGATATGTAGCAGTGTAGTCCTAGTTTGCATTCTATAGTTACAGGCTAGGACTTTTGGAAACACGGAGCCTGGGAATTAATGAAAGTGTGCCCTCTAGTGGATGTCACTCCTCCTTTGAAAACAATGCTGACTACAAATGTGCAGGCCTCCCCATCCATGTCTATTAGCTTCCCGCCCGCACTGGGAGAACCAGATTTCGGGAAGTGAGTTCAGACAGCTAGGAACACCCACATCTGTCTGACCTGTTCCTGGGTTTTCTAGAGCGAATCGTGAGTTTTGGTGGGAGGGGCTCCTTAGTTCAGGCACACCCTCCTTGTAAGCAGTTTCGGCACTGCTCTACACCTCCAAGTCCGATGCCTGCCCGCACATGGCCATTTGCTGTTGGGGAGGAGGAAGGTGGGTCATGAGTGAGGATGAGGAATACGGAGCTCAGACTGTTGGAGAGTCCAACAGATCATGTTTACCTGTGAAGGCAAAGAGATCTAGAGAAAAAGTCTAGATCAGAGATACAGAATCACAGGGAAGTGTTTTAAAGGCACACTGTGGCCATTTCAAAATTAGGCCTTCATCTTCCTTACACTATTGGTCTATGCTTCCCAGTGCTGTCTTTTTAATAATGCATCTGTTCTAAATTGCAAGGATACATACACATTTGACACACAACTCACCCATACACTGAGTGGCATCATGAAACTCAGAAAGAGCATTGACTTGAGCCTTAGTTGTGTTTGAACGCCACCTCTGCCACTGGTTTAGGGCAGTATTTCATAGTGATGCACAGGCTTTGGGGCCAGCTTCACACTGTTTCAAATCCCAGCTCTATCACTTAACAGTTTTGTGACTTTAAATTAATTACTTAACCCCTCTGGCCTCAGTTTCCTCATCTGTGAAATGAGCACACTAATAATACCTGTGTCATAGAACGGTTGTGGGAATATTAGTAAAAAGTATTTAGAAGAATGCCAGTACACAATATTCAATAAATGTTACTACTGCTAGCAAGTGTCTTCTATCTATACAATTTGGTACTTTACAATTTGTGGCACATCACTGATACTAGTGTAAATATGCCCTCATTAAAAATCCATACATGAAAATCTGCATGTGAGTACATATTACAGTGTGCTGGTATAAGCCCTTTTCCGGGGAAATACCTGGTTTCTGAAGATCTATATATACAGTCCTGATTCCAGTTCTAAAATGTTATTTACATGCAATTTAAGACGCATGTATTTGCATTAATTGTGTGTAAGGAAATGTTTTTCCCCTAAAATAGTTTAATATTATTATTATATAGTGCTTAAAACCTTCCTTCATCCAGAGAAAATAATCTAGGACATATAATAAACTAAAAGCAATGGTGGGACTGTGTATTTTTCTTCTTTCATTTCTATTTCCATTGTGCTTACATTCCTTACATAATGAGAAAAGTAGAGACTTACGTAAGTGCAGAAGTACAATGAGGAAGCACCACTTGTGTGTTAAAATACCAGTATCTTGATTCTTCACCCTGTCTCTCTCTCCTCAAGGGCAAGCCGATTTACGGAGAAACTCAACTGCAAGGCCCAACGGAAACACAGCCAAGTGCACAGCCTGAAAGGGAGATGGCAACAGTGGGCCGATGAACACATACAGTCCCAGAAGCTCAACCCCTTCAGTGAAGAGTTTGATTATCAGCTGGCCATGTCCACCCGCCTGCACAAGGGAGATGAAGGCTACGGCCGTCCCAAGGAGGGAACCAAAACTGCCGAGCGGGCCAAGCGAGCCGAGGAGCACATCTACAGAGAAATTATGGACATGTGCTTCATCATCCGCACGATGGCTCGCCACAGACGGGATGGAAAGATCCAGGTTACTTTCGGGGACCTCTTTGACAGATACGTTCGTATTTCAGATAAAGTAGTGGGCATCCTCATGCGCGCCAGGAAACACGGACTGGTTGACTTCGAAGGAGAGATGTTATGGCAAGGCCGGGATGACCATGTTTTGATTACTCTACTCGAGTGAACCTTCAACCACACGAGCCATACTTGATCCACTAATGTCTTAATGCTAAATGCTAATTTAGTAAAAACCAAAATGCAGACTGCTCTGTAATGATTTCATAAATATTAAATAATTTTTCCATGAATGACTTTTTGGCACATTATTTCTGAGGACCTTGGAAGATTTTGATAGAATATACATAACCATTTGGAACAATTCCACTTACCCTTCAGGGGGAGAGACCAAGGGGGTCTCTCACGCAGCCATTCCTGTGACGTCACTCTCAGCACTTACCCTTTTAGGCAAAAATTACCTGGGTATTCATTGCAGAAGTGATTGCAGGTCTTTAATGAAATAATTATTATATCTAAGAAGAAAGCTGAATATAGGTAAATATCAGCAGAATTATTATGATGTCAATTTTCAGGGAAAAAGAATTCCATTAAGTCTGGCAAAACTAAGCTTAAAATTTTCTAAGAAGATTGACTTCGTACTATTATTTTAATCATAGCATGACTTACAAAATAGGCACACAAATCAATAAGTTTTTAAAAAGGTAATGAAATTGCTCAAATATCTTTGTGGGCTTATAATTTAATGTTTCTGAAATTAGCCGTGCTTCTGGGTAATGTGTGCAAATCACATAAAAACAGACATTACTGGTCTCAGAGCCGACAGAGAAAGCGGGCATGTTCTGCTTCACTGTGAAAGCAAAGCAGAGGCGAGGGTTCAGATTTATCTGCCTTTGTAGGACTTCTTGCAGAAGTTTACTTTGTGTCAAAACCACACATACTAAGTCATGCTGCTTACATCGATGTCACTATACAGGGTCCAGCAGAAGTTAACGCCTGCTGGAGTGTGGTTGGTAGGTAATAACATGGGTGTAGTAATTTACAGTTTTAATTTAAACATTTCACATAATTTAACGTCATGTGGTATCCTTAAGTGTGATATTGTTACATTACAGAATTACATGCTTATGATTTTTCTTTTTTTTTTTTAAGATTTTATTTTTATTTATTTTTAGAGAGGGAAGGGAGGGAGAAAGAGAGAGAGACAAACATCAATGTGTGGTTGCTGGGGGCCATGGCCAGCAACCCAGGCATGTGCCCTGACTGGGAATTGAACCTGCAACACTTTGGTTCGCAGCCCACGCTCAATCCACTGAGCTACGCCAGCCAGGTGATTTTTCTAATAAAAAGGGGGTATTATTTGTGCTGGGCCCTGTATAATGAAATAGAAATACAGAAAATTCTACAATAAAGTGGAATGTTCATGTAGAACTCGACAGAATCACTGGCAAATCAGAAACAGATTTGAGACATTTCCATTTTCTTCATACTCTTAACAAACTTTACAAATAATCTAAAAATTATAAAAGAGCAATATTAGTTTTGCCAAAGTGAAAAAAGTGTACTTTAATGTGATGCCAAAGATAAATTTGACACTAATCTGCTACTTGTCATTTTTTCTCAATTCAATTTAATGTGCTTTATATCACTCTAACACAAACTGAGTAAAATGTGAGATTATAATTTTTACTGAATTCAATAAGAATTACTAAATTATATATAGCACATTTGGTGTTAAATACAAAAGTTAATGAATTATCATGCCTCAAAATAATAGTCATTCATAATTGTTAGGTGTTAGATTTAATATAAAATATTGATTAAGCTACTATAGGAATTATTTTTGTTTCATGGATGATTCTTTCAAATTTAAATTCTAATACTTTTTTAAAGAAGGTTTGCACATGTTTTCATAATAAATTACAAATTAATGACCAATATTAAGCAGAATTTCATGGAAGATGTATACTTCTATCACAACCATGAACCTATGTCAAAATTTTAAGGTATGGTACAAGAATAAAAGATATTTTCTTGTATTTCCTGTTCTGTGTTTGGACTATTTTTACTCCTTCATTGGAATACAACAAAATTACAGAGTACAAATTGGGTTACTTCTAGATATCAGTGGAATATTCAGGCCAAGGTTTCAAAAGAGTTTCCTCATATTCAACCCTGGACAATATTAGTTTCTGTGGGCACTGAAAGACTCTTCAAAGTTCCACTTGATTGAATTTGAGGAAGGCGTTAAAAAGTCTTTTCAGAGAGCTTACATTAACTAACGCTTCTGAATAAGATGTGGCTGTGAAGTCAGAGGGCTAGCCTCCTGTGCGGACAATGACTGATATGTGACATCTTTATCCTGAAAATTCTATGGTAGGAAAATCCAGTTGAAAACTTAGGGCTTCTGTTGGTTGGTTTTTACCTTTAATGATATCTTTTAATGGAAAGCTCTTAAAATTACAATGTAGCATAGTGTTTTCTCCTTTATAGCTAGTATTTTTGTGTTCCATTTAAGAAATGTATGTGTATCCTAAGATCATATTCTTCTGTATTTAAAAATGAACAGCACTACTGTTTTACCTTTCACATTTAGATCTATAATCTTTTTCTTTGTATGTGATGCGAGATAGGTCAAGATAAATGCCATTTATTGAAAAAAAAAAAACCTCTTCACTAAGCAGCAGTGTCATCTTTAAAAAAAAATCACTTCATTTTTGGACTCGATTTTGATTCATTCCTTTGTATATTTTTTGACCAATGCCACATCCTTTTACTCAGCTTTTAAAAAGATCATGCTATCTGGGTTTAAGACAACAGCCTCATTCTTCAATGTTGTCTTAGCTATTCTTTACTTTTACATTTCCATACAAATTATAAAACCAGCTTTATTTCCACAAAAATGAACCTGAGATCTTCACTGCCAATACAAATTGATTTTGGAGACCTGGAATCTTTCAATAGTTTTTCCAATCACAGATATATTTCCTTCTTTCTTATGGGTTTTCTTTGTTATATATCCAGTATTTTCAATGGTATTACAAATGGTAGTATTTTAAGCTTCATTTTCTAACTGTTGTTTGTACATTAAAAGTGAAAGTTCTAATGCTTTAAAAAATATCAAACTTGTATTTAGTGACCTTGAAAAATGAGTTAATTCCAACAATTTGAGCTTTTTGGAATTTACTATGCCCACAATCATGTCATATACAAATGACATTTAAAATTCTTCTTTCCTAATCCTTATACCTTTTTCTTGCTTTATTGCATTGGTTGTGACTTCCAGAACAATGTTAAAGAGAAGCAGAGATAACAATGATCATTATCAGTTTTTTAAAATCTCTGGGAAGAAACTTTCAGAAACTGTTAAAGATGACTCTTTCAGTACATTTTTTAAAAAGATTAAGATCCTTTCTTTCCTACTTAGCAAAGGGTTCTTAACAATAAATGGGCATTGAAATTTATCAAATGCTTGGCTTCTATAGAGGTCATATTAAGTAATTTTTTTCAATTATAGTTAACATACAGTGTTCTGTTCATTTCAGGAGTACAACATAGTGATTTGATACTTATGCAGCTTACAAACTTATCAACCTGGTAAATCTAGTACTCATCTGACACCATACTGGCCATTTGCACAGCTTAATCCCTTCCCCCTTTTCACTTAACACCTCTCCCATTTGGCAACCATCAGTTTCTTCTCTGTATCTATGAGTTTGTTCATTTACTTTTAGATTCCACATGTAAGTGAAATCATGTTATTTTTCTGACTTATTTCATTTGGTATTATATACTCTAGGCCCATCCATGTTGCCACAAATGTCAAGATTTCATTCATTCTTATTTATGGCTTAGTAATGTCCCATTGTATATGGCCTGGAAAAGGTCCAGCCACTGTTAATATAATGAGAATGGTTTGCATGACATTGATGTAACCTGGCTGAGGAGAGTGGACTGGAATGCACATGAGTGAACAATGACTTCACTATACTAGTAACTGGGGGCAGTAGATGCTGTTCAGTGAGCATGTGTACTATGTGGCTGTCACCTTCAAAATGATTGAGCAAGGAGAGAAAGGAATCTGCATCAAATTTTGTGTTAAACTTGAACATTCCTCTGTGGAAACTATTCCAATGATTCAGAAGGCTGCAGCTCAGGCCAACTGGTGACTGACAGCTTCAACATGACAATGCTCACACTCCTGTGTTACATCTTGTGCAGTTTTTTGTGAAACATCAAATCACCCAGGTGACTCAGCCCCTCTACAGCCCAGATTTGGCACCCTGCAACTCCTGGCTTTTCCCAAAACTAAAATCACCTTTGAAAGGTAAGAAATTTCAGATGATCAATGAGATTCAGGAAAATAGAATGGGGCAGCTGATGGTGACTGGGAGAACTGTGTGAAGTTCCAAGGTACCTTCTTTGAAGGGGAACTGAGGTGTCCTATGTACAATGTTTCTTGTATCTTCTTCAATTGATGTTTCTATTTTTCATATTACTTGGCTGGATACCTTCTGGACAGACTTTGTATATACCACTTGTTCATCCATTGATCTACCATTGGACACTTAAATTGCATCCATATCTTGGCTATTGTGAATAATTCTGCAATAAACATAGGGAGGCATATGTTTTTTCAAATTAGTGTTTTAGGTTTCTTCAGATAACTACCCAGAAATGGAATTGCAGGACCCTTTGTTAGTATTGCTACTCAGCTTTTTTCCCCCATCATTTTCATTGTCATGAATGATTTCTTTCCATCCCTTTACTTTCAGTCTGCAAGTGTCTTTGTGATCTGAAGCGGGCAGCATAATATGTTTTCTTATCCATTTAGTCACTTCACGTAATTTGATTGGAGCATTTAATCCATTTACATTTAAAGTAATTATTGACAGGTATGAGACTATTCTGGAATTTTATTTATTTGTAAGAATTTTAAATTTTGGTGTCAAGTCATGCTAGCCTCAAAATAAATTATCAGAAGTTCTCCCTTTTCTCAGTACCTTGGAAGAGTTCATCTAAGACTAATACCTTTTGTTTTTGGCTTAAAAAGTACTTAAAAGTATCACCCAAAGGGACCAACCAATCATATGGGCCTGGTTTTTTTTTTTTTTGTGGGAAAGCTTTTTTAAATAGACTCACTTTCTAGAATATGTTTTGTTGGATCAGGTTTAATAAATTGCTTTCCAAAATGGTTTTCTACTTCACCCTCATTGTCAAGTTTATTGATACAAAGTTTTTTACAATGTCCTATCTCTAAGGTCTACAGGCTCTGAAGTGATGTCTCCTTTTAAATTCTCAATTATGGTAATATTTTTCTTGATCTTGCTAGAGGTTTACAATTTTACTGTTCTCATATTTTCTGTTTTGCACATTTGTTTTAAAATTTATTGATTTCTGCTATTTTTATTTTGTCTTCTATTTTCATTAGGTATAATTTGTTGTTGTTCTTGTCCTTCTGGCTTTTTAAGATGGCAGCTTAGAGCCTTGTCATTTAATATTTCTAGATCCTAAAAATCTATCTCAAGATTTTTCTTTTTACTCATTCTATAATCTCCAAAGGCATGGCATCCATAGGATATGGTTTCAACATCTACCTGTGTGTTGATTAATTTTTTTCTCAGAATAGAATATTAAATCTCTCCCCAATCTATTCTACAATTTTTCACATCATAGTATAACAAGCTCCAGAGCTCACCTAATTTCCCACCTGCTTTTTTCTCCTCTTTGTATATCACCCATTGATAAATAATATACTGTTTTTAAGTAAAAAATCCTGACATACAATAACCAAGTCCTGTTAATCCTATTTCCTCAATCTCTTTCCAATCCTTCTTCTTTAATCACTATTGCTAATACTCTTCTTCAGACCTCAACATCTTCCCTCTGGACCTCGCAACAGACTTGTCTGTCTCTAGTTTTCCTCTCTACCAATCTATTTTGCAGAGATCTTCATGAAGTGCAAATTTGACCACCCATGTCATTCCTCCATTCAAATGATCTTAATTACTCCTATGAGAAAAAATAAATTTCTTTGCACTATGCACAACAGACCTCTTATGACATTAGTTATACCGTGCTAT